AAATGGGGCGATATCCCGTGTTCGTGGCTGAGAAGATTTAATGCTTGTGGAATAAAAATAGACTCCACATTAATCTTAGAAATTCAAAATGATTCCTATTAAAATTCCATTTTGTGTTTTTGCAAAAATCAAGAAGCTTATGGTAATTATGGACGTCCAAGGGTTAGAGAATAGCTGAACCAAGGTTAAAAAAAAAAGTTGAAAAACTCATACTTTGTGATTTTAAAGTTTGCCATAAAGCTTTAGTGATTCAGGTAATGTGGTACAGGCATGAAAGAAACACAGGTGGATCCATAAGGTACCTGAGGCTGAGGTGATGGGTGCGCCATGTCAGGATGCCTGGCCCTGCACCTTCTGCTGAGCTCCTGGCTCACGCCCCAGCCGGCAGCAGGTGACAGCCTACGGACTTGTGTTTCTTCCACATGTAGGGAGACCTAGTTTGAGGTGCAGGCTCCTGGCGTCAGCCTGCTCCTGTCCCAGCCGGTACAGCTGTTTAGCCAGCACGCTAGCAGATAGAATATCTCTTCCTGCCTCTTTGCTTTTCAAATAAAATGAAAATAATTTTCAGTGGGTGCAGGACTTAAAGTCATGAGTCATGAGAAGTCCTTACATTTGTGTTTTATTTGACTTAGGTAGCAAGACAGCTCAGTGGAGAGCGAGCGGTACGCTCAGCGAGTACCAGACAGCTGCACATCCACGTGCAAAGGAACTTGGATTCTTTAATCACACTGTAAACAAAGTTTAACTTGCAGAGGATCAAAGATCCACTTGTAGGAATACAACTCTCAACATTCTTTAAAATATGTATATATATATAGGAACAAGGTCTTTATGATGTTGGGCTAGACAAACTATTTTGAATACAGCATCCAGATTGCATAATGCAACAGCAAAGACAAACTGGACTTCAACAAAATTAGACCTTTTGTGCCTCAAAAGAAATTATGAACAAATGAAAAAGTTTCAGAACGAGAGAAAATACTTGTAAATTATGATTGACAAGAGACTTGGATGCGGAGTATGTGAAGAACTCTGTTCCAAATCCATAATAAGGGCTAATAACCCAGTTAGAAAATGGGCAAGGGATCAGGTGGATGCTTCTCCATAGAGGACTCTCTAGCACGTGAAATCACAGATGCTTGATGCTGTTGGTTGTCCCATGAGATTCCAGTCGGTATCCACCAGGACGGCTGAGGTCAGAAGGGTATAACCAGGGAGGGTAGGGGAGGTTGAGGAGGGACAGAAACCCCACGTCACTGCTAGTGAGAGTATAAAGTGGCATATCTCCCTTGGAAAAGACGCAACAGATCTTCCATAGGTTCAGCAATTACCACGTGACCCATTGCGTTCACCACTAGCTATATACCCAAAAGAACGTAAAACATAAGTCTGTGTCAACACCTGTGCACCAATGTTTGTAGTAGCATTTTCCTGCAGTAGTCCAGAGGAAAAGACCCATGCATCTTTGGGGCTGGTGTGATGGCTCCAAAGGCTAATCTTCCACCTGCAGGTGCTAGCATCTCAAATGGGCATTGATTCTAGTCCTGAATGCCCCACTTCCCCTCCAGCTCCCTGCTTGTGGCCTGGGAAAGCAGCAGTGGATGGCTCACACCCTTGGGCTCCTGCACTCATGTGGGAGACTGAATGAAGCTTCTGGCTCCTGGCTTCAGATCAGCTCAGTTCCAGCCATTGCAGCCCTGCAGGGAGTGAACTAGCAGATGGAAGAGCTCTCTGTCTCTCCTTCTTTCTGTAAATCTGCCTTTCAAATAAAAATAAATTTAAGAAAAAAAAAAAGATTACACATTTGTCTGCTGATGAAGGGATAAGTCAGTGTGGTCTGTATGTACAATGGAATATTATTTCATCATCCAAAGGAATGGTGTCTGCTTTCAGCCATGAAGTGGATAGACCTTGAAATGTTATGCAACGGGAAAGAAATCAGCCATTAACGACCAAGATATGATGTGATTGTGTTTATACAAAGTGTCCAGCAGAGCAGCAGGACATTTATTAATGCTGCCTGGGTTTGGGACACAGGGTTTCTTTTGGAGGTGATAAAAGTATTCTAAAATTCGTTATGGATGATGATGATGGAATTCTTAATAGACTGCACGGCCTCAAAGTGTAGACTAAGTTGGTAGCATGTTTTATATGCAAGTTACGTCTCAAGATAGCTGTTCCAAATAATAACCTGTAAAATCCAAGATTGTATGGGCCCGGCGCAGTGGCGCAAGTGGTAAAAGGTCCTCGCCTAGCACGCCCGGGATCCCATATGGGCGCCGGTTCTAATCCCGGCAGCCCTGCTTCCCTTCCAGCTCCCTGCCTGTGGCCTGGGAAAGCAGTCGAGGACGGCCCAAAGCTTTGGGACCCTGCACCCGCGTGGGAGACCCAGAAGAGGCTCCTGGCTTCGGATCGGCATAGTATCGGCCCGTTGTGCTCACTTGGGGAGTGAATCATCGGACGGAAGATCTTCCTCTCTGTCTCTCCTCTCTGTATATCCGCCTTTCCAATGAAAAAATAATAAAAATAAATCTTTAAAAAACAAATCCAAGATTGTATGAACCGGAAATTGTAGTGAATTTTGGCTGATTATCTGAGGGAATTTTGGATCCAAACAAGATCCAAACGTCACTCTGCAACTTGGTGTTGTAAGAACTGGGGCCTTGTGATTGCACTTGGAATCCATTTTTGGAACCACCAGATTACATCGCTTCTTCATGTAAACACATAAATACCTTAGTTCTTAGGGGTGCTCTGGAAATTCACTGAGTTACTGCATGAAGAGCCTCGTGCGGTTGGTTACCAGCACTGTTCTGGATTGGAGGAAGGTTAGAAGACACACCCTCCGTATCCATGCGTGTGCTCCTGCCTGCAGTGTCCTCGCAGCCCGGCACAGGCCTCCAGCCCTCAACGTGGAGACTGCTCCTGTGGTGAGCACCTCCGGGATACTAGCTCCAACTGTGCCCCTCCTTTTCCTCCTGTCCCCTCCATGGGCTACTTCAACCACCTAGGGGGTGTTTAACTCACACATCCTCAGAGTTCAGCTTAGTGCTTGCTGTTGCTAAATGCTTGGTTATCACTGTTTCCATTCATTCCTCGCTGTTAGTTTACTGGTCAACAGGAAAATCTGAACTATTTGGTGTTGGGTACTTTGTGCTATAATTTGGCATCATTAGGCGATGAATATACTTGGGAGCTGTAGCAGAGTCCTATGACCAAAATAAAGATATACATCAAGAATCCTGAATTTATTTGCAAATTTAAATTTGTCATGAGTTTATAGAAAATAGAAAATTTGAAACTCTCTTATCATAGATTCAGACAAATTTTTTCCTGATAAGTGTCTTTGTTTTGAGAAGGCTCTGTTTTGAACCTCTATGTGGAAAGTGGAAACTGTATTTCTTCACCCTATAAAGGGAAATTGAACATTGGATTCCCAAGGTGTGCTTTAATGATAGGGCATTGAGGGTAATGTGTATACTGAGTTTATGATGTCAATGAGTCTGTTTCGAGTTGTAGTAGGCCATGTTCTTGCCAGAGCTTAGAGGGCCAACGTGCAGATGGTCTGCTTCTTGCAGCGTGGTTGCTGCTGGGGCTGACAGCTCGCCTTACTGTAGTATGCGCCTCTTTGCCTTATCTGCAGAAGTACCAAAACGGTTATTAGCCCGTGATGAATGGCCACATCCATGTCCCTAGACAGCGGGGAGGCATTGCTGACTGGTTTGCGTGTGCATTACTGCCTTGAGAATTTGCCTTCAGCTGTTCTCCGAGAACCTTGCATGGTTACAGGGCTTAGCGAGAATTCTCTCAGGAGCATCTTTAAAATGTTATCATCGTCTTTTGGAAGCACATGTGGATGCTGTTGTACTGCAACAGGTTAATTACCTCTTGGGACCCCGTGTACTGTATTGGCTTGCCATGTGAAGTCCGGGTTACTCCACTTGTGGTCCACCCTACTGTTAATGCATGGCATGGCAGCAGGTGTCCCGAGTTGTTCCTGCCATCCTCCCGGGAGACTTGGGTGGAGCTCCTGGCTCCTGGGCTTTGCTTTGGCAGCCTGGCTGTTGCTGCCATTGCGAAGTGAACCAATGACTAGAATAAATGTTTCTCTCCTCCTCTTTTTGTCCCTCCGTCCACCCTCTCTTTGCATTTATACCTCAATCTCTTCCTCCCTCTCTTTCTCTCTGCCTTTCAGATAAATAAAACAGTAAATCTTCTTTAAAGAAAAAAGTAGAAAGGTTACGTCACTATACGTGAGAGACACTGAAACAATTCCAGAACTGTCTTCAGCCTTTCATGTAGTGATTGCAAAATATTTAGACAGCATTCAAGAGCTTCTTTCTATAGAGCACTGAAAAGCAGGTGGAAGACTTCACTGCGCTGAGCACAGTACACAGCACCTTTTGACTTGGACCCAGGTCCCATTTTGTCTTAAGCAAGAGGGATCGCTTGTTTTGTCAAGGGCAAGACGGCCAAAGACGTTTCTGTTGGTTTCCTTTAACTAGTTAAGCCCTGTGAAGTAAGTTAGTTTCCCCTCCTTTCCCCACAGACCCAAAATAGCTTTATTAACAGGAATGTATGATGTTTGTCTTCCTAAAAAAAAAAAAAAATCAGGGTGGTCTTAGATGTCTGTCTTCCCTTCTGGCATTTCCTTTTATACAACTCTTCTGAATTTTCTGTTTAAAAACTGGCATTCCAATAGCTTTTCTTTGGCCTAATGCCTGACTTGAATATTGAAGGAGCAAATTAGGAATGTTAAGACGTCCCCCAAAGAAAAATGTTTGTTATGAAAGCAGAGCTGATGTGACACTTAGAATTAGGACTTCTTAACTTGTCTAAATGACAGTTAATGATCTTTTCTGCTTTCCTTTCCTTTTATTATTTTAAAGGGGATTGTGAGGAATGAAAGAATTGCCCAGAGGCTAAGATTGGGTTTGGTTCGCCAAACTGTGAAATGTCAAATGTACTCTCCTGATAATACATCTTTTGTCTCTTTTTAGGAGCTAATTTTGTTACTCGAAAAATTAGCCGGTCAGTAGCTAAAATTTACCTTGGACAACTGGAATGTTTCAGTTTGGGAAACCTGGATGCCAAACGAGATTGGGGCCATGCCAAGGACTACGTGGAGGTAGGAACTGAGGGACAAGGTGTTAGTAGCATTTTGTCCGTTGAAATCTGGCCGATGTAGAGGTGGTGGCTCCTAAGCTTTTGCTGATACGGGTGTGTTCGAGCTCGTCCTGTCCTTTCACCCGAAGTCACGGTCATTCAGGAGCGCACACAGCTGCTCTGGTTGGCCCTTGAACGCGGGTGCCTTTGGCAAATGTTCCGTTCCTTACTGAAGACATAAGTGTTGACCAGCGCTTTGGGCGGTAGGTGCCAGTTAAATGAACAGATGTTTCATTCATGCTGTTTGCTTTCGGGAGCTTCTTACCCACCCAGTCGCCTCTTGTTGCACCTTCTCCCCCCACCCCACCCCATGTTCTCATCACCCACTGTGGTGAATCTTGGATATGAGGTACTCATTCATTCTCAGATCTTTAAGAAATGCCATCTGTGCATTTCCACTTGTACAATTGAAGATCTTCAAACTAGCATTATCATGTTACATTCTATAGGAGGTAATGTTCCTGGGAGACTCTGTACTCCTTACAGGAACCCAGCACACACCCGGCTAATGAAGTTACTAGCAATGCCGTGGGAAACAATGGCTGCAGCTGACAGGAAGCCCAGAGTTTGATTCCTGCATAGGTTCAGTTTGGGTAGGTCCTGGGTTACTGTGCGTGTAGTATGACCTTGCTGCTTATCACGTTGCCCTGTTTAGGATGCTTTCAAAGCTCCCGTGTGTTTTTTGGAACCCTGAGAAGGGACATGGTGGTGACAGTGTCTGTTACCCTGGGCTTGGCTGTCGTCGTCTAGGAAATCACAGACCACTTATGCTCATGAAACGGTTTCTCTCCTGAATTTTTGCTCTCTGGGAAATCAGATCCAGCTGCCTTGTTCACTGATGAAGCTCAGAAAGAAAATTGAACATTTATAAAAGAGTGAACACGTAGGTCACTTGCCAAGGCAGAGAGAGGTGAGGTTTTGTGATGTCCGTTTTTGCTTGTAGCAGTCAAGACTGTGTGTGCTTGGTGCCTAACAAGGATAATGTTGTGAACATTGTATCACATGTATATGCTTGGAGCTATGCAGCAAACGCTGGTATCTTTATCAAAACTCATCTTCAAATAGACTCAATTTCAGGCTGCCTTACTTTAGTGGTGTATATGTACTTGGGTAATAAAGAAGCTTTTGTTGGAGCTCAAAAATCAGATTCTGTGGGAGAAATATATCCTAGTGCTGCGTGTGCTTGCTTCTGGATTTGATGATTTTCTTCTTTATCCTTCCTGTATTTTTTATGGTATTTGAAACCAACACATGTTCACTTTGCATTGGGGAATGGGGTGGGAATGACACTTAAAAAATAAATTCAAAAATCCAACCCAAATGAATGGGACTGTGAAATCAGCACAGAAGTAGTGAGAAAGGCTTTTGTGAGCTAGTGGATCTGGAAGAAGGGCCCTGCTGGCATCGCCCTCCCCAGACGCCAGGCCTGCCCTGCTGCGGGTACCGCCCAGATCTTGGCACACAGGGCCTGTATTTGTATTCATATGAAAGGAAAATATTTTGGCTCAAGCATTTCAAAAGGTTGTCCCAAATGAAATCGTTTTCACTGTTCCTTGACAAGAGGATGTCAGTACAGCATGCCCAGGAGCCAAAATACCACACAAGAGTGAGCTACGCTGCCTTTTCACAGAGGTGTGGGATTGTCGGAGTCCGTGGGGAAGGAGCTGCACACACGGACTGAATCCGTTCTCCTTGACGTCTGCGTTTGATTTGTCCTGCGATACCAGTGGCTTTGTGGGCTCAGGATCCTCCTGGGGTTCTAATGGCAACATCTATTATTGATTGATGTAAGAAATATTTTATAGTTCTCATTTATGTGTTCTGAAAGAAATCTGAATTTCTTGCTTTCTAAAAAGGTCCCATTATGAAGTGAAAAGTCATGACTTTGCTATTCTCTACTTGAAGGAGCGTTGCCATTCCTTGCAGCTCTATCGAGTGAAATTCCTTCAGAGAGTTGTAATTTATAGTAACCTTTTGCCAAAATTAAATCAACAGTCATGAAAATGGAAAAAAGAGAGACTTTGTCTAACGGATGTGTGCATCATGACCCCGTAATCAGCTTCACAGTGCAGTGTTGGCAAGTGCAGCTGACACAACTCGTAATCATGTCTCAGTTATGAAACGTGATTGTGAAATCCCTCTCCTTTATGCCCTAAAACATTGATATAGCTTTTTTGTAAGATTTATCTGTTTTCATTGGAAAGTCAGAATTACAGAGAGAGAAGGAGCTACAGAAAGAAAGGTCTTTCATCTGCTAATTCACTCCCCAAGAGCCAGCAACAGCCAGAGCTGAGGCAAACCGAAGCCAGGAGCCAGGAGCTTCTTCCGGGTCTCCTACAAGAGGGCAGGGTCCCAAGGCTTCGGGCCATTTTCGACTGCCTTCCCTGACCACAAGCAGAGAGCTGGAAGTGAAGTGGAGCATTCAGGATACGAACTGGCCCCCATATGGGATCCCGGGAATGCAAGACAAGGATGCTAGCTATGAGGCTACTGCGCCCGGCCCCATTGACATATCTTTTGATTAAATAAATGACTTGTACTTCTTTTACTTGTAGTTGAATTCCCCTGGTGAAGAATAGCAGGCCATTACGCCTCGTGCTAGGAGACGCAGGGAGCCCTGGGATTGCTCCTTAGCCTCTGTGGGATTGTCCTATCTCGGTTGACCCATTGTCAGAAGGACATAACAGCTTGTAAACAATCAGAAGTAATGCACTGTCCAGGTAGGATTAGAGGTGCCTTTGCCTTGTAAACAGCTTTCGGCAGTCTGCACAAGGTCATTTCCTGTTGGCTGATTGCAGTTCATTAACCTGTAGTTTTGTCCTCCAGATCCAAATGATTTAAAATGTAAACAGATAAGAGGTATTTTAACCTGAAACGAAGAACATATAGAATAGCTATATATTAAGTTATATTGTATTTCAGAATCAGTAAGCTATAGGTAGTTTCCAATGTTTTGTTCAACATGGAAGTATTGAACAAATTTTACCCTGAACTGCTACCCACATATCCAGCACCAGATTCTGCAGTTAACATCTAAAAGTATTATTGCAAGTTAAAGAAAAATAAATTTCTGCTTATGTCATTACCCTTGTATAATGACTCACAGTTGTTAATATTTAATTTATGGAAAGACAAGGTAGCAAAAATTTCAGTTTCTTATTGGTTGAATTTAGAAAGTAATTCAAACTTGTAAAATAGTTTTACCTAAGTGCTTTTTCATTTTGGTGATGTAAAGAGAGCAGATGCGTGTTTCAAAGATATAATTCCAGGAGATGTATTTCTCTCCCTTCTTTAGTCTCTCCTTTTTTTCTTTAATTTTTGTCTCTAATTTTAAAAAAAATTTTGCCATAACAATAAGAATGTCCTTTGTAATCATAGGCTTAATGCACCACTAACGATAATGTTCAACAAATAGAAAGACCACTACTCCACAGGAATATAGACAAGCAGTATAAAATATAAAAATCACAGGATGTCTGTTTTATTATTATTATATGTATCTTTTTAGGCAATATTCCAAATTTCTTTTTAAAAAGTTATATTTTTAATTTTTATTTGAAAGATGTATGTAAAGAGGGAACAACAGAGAGAGAAAGAGAAATCTATAATCTGCTGGTCTATTCCTCAAATGGCCGTAGTGGCCAGAGCTGAGCTGATCCAAAGCCAGGAGCCAGGGGCTTATTCTGGGTGTTGCACATGGGCACATGGGCCCAAGGACTCGGGTCATCCTCCACTGCTTTCCCAGGTCATAAATAGGGACCTGGAATATAAGTGGAACAACTGGAATTTGAATTGGTACCCACATGGGATGCTGGCACCGTAGGTGGAAACTTAAGCCCCTATTGCACAATGCCGGCCCCCTACACTTGTTTGTTTGTTTTTGTATCTTTTATCAACCATAATATATCAGAGGAAACATAATTTGTCTTTTGGGGACTGTGTTATTTCACTGAACATGATGTTCTCTAATAATATCCACTTTATTGCAAAAGACAGAAATTTCATTCTTTTTATGGCTAAGTAGTATTTCATTGTGTATATATACCATCTTTTTTTATCTAGTTAGTGGATGGAAATCTGAATTGATTTTCTACTTTAGTTATTGTGCGTTGAGATGATATGTACATGAGAGTACAAATACACTTTTGTATGTTGATTTCTTTTCCTTTGTGTAAATTCCTAAGAGTGGAATGGCTGGGTCACATGGTTGATCTATTTGCCTATTTCTGGAGACTGCTTTTCCATAGTGACTGTTCCCTTCACAACCTGTTTTTCCACCCACATCCTTCTATCAGCATTGTAACTGCTGGTGTTCCTGAAAACACACTTGGGGCATGCATCACACATTCAGGCCAACTTGAACAATCCTCTTACATCACTGGTGGCCAAGCACAGCAAAAGAGACGCACCATCTTCTCACACGCCATTTTGAGCTTGGTGTATTTTCACTTCGAACACCTGCTATCAGTGGCAATCTTACATACTTTTTCTAAAGGTGAATAAGACTGAAAAATGCAGATCAAGCATATTTCTTAATCAGAGGACTGATTTCCCACAATTTGTGATGAACTTATCATGTATGAATGATGACCAAGATTGATGCAAGATTTCCCAAACTTATTTGGCTTTGGAATCCTTTGGATGAAAAGAGCTAGTATCAAGTTGTATAGGGTCAGGAAAAGCATGCTTGAATAAAACTTACGTAACATCTGGGCTAACAAGGCACCACTATGATCCTAATTTAGGGAACATGTCTAGAACATCATTGTAGCTAGAAAATGCTGAGTTGGGCTCATTGCCAAGGGCTGCATCAGATGCATCTTTTTTTTTTTTAAGATTTATTCATTTTTTAATCGCAAAGTCAGATATACAGAGAAGAGGAGAGACAGAGGAAGATATTCCGTTCAGTAATTCACTCCCCAAGTAACCACAACGGCCACTGCTGCGCCGATTGGAAGCCAG